CTGAATTAATGACAGTCGTGTACTTTATAAGGGATCAACATCTCGTATTGTTCTTAGCTATGATGCTGTTCTTGTAAGTTATCACTGTAAGAAGGGATTTTTTGACTGTCCATTTATTGATACAGGAGTGTGGACAGTGCTTAGAAGAAAACTGAGATAATTAAATGTGCATCAGATGAGATTTTCCCGAATTCATATGCCTAATTGTAGATCCTGAAGCCGAAGTTCAGTTCGAGCCAACCCCACTTGTGCCAGCGCTTCAGTTCTTTGAAGGTGTGGATATGTCGGGGATGGCAATGAAGGCTGGTTTGAGACCAGGCGATTTCCTCTTGCAAATAAACGGAATAGACGTGCGATCGGCATCGCACGATCAAGTTGTAAGACTGATACATGCTGCAGACGATACGATCACCCTTAAGGTCTGCTTGGATTTGCTTCTGAGATTGAAAGTTGATCGTTTCGAGGAGATTTTCAACGAATTTTGAAGGAGGAGTTCATGAAGGAATATTCAAATCACTGATGGAATTGCATGTGTATTGGGTGAATAGGAAAATGTACAAGAAATGATATGAAAGGTCACAATAATGACAATAATGAAAGGTTACAGTAATGATCATGTGAATTTTTTGACTTCAAAGAATTTTTTCCCATTTAGGTGATCACAATTGATCCGAGCAGCCTGGCCGTACCTCGGCTCACAGCCGGTACTCTACCGACCCGACGCAATAGATCAAGTATGGTTCATTCCGGCATTCGTATCATTTGCTCGAATTTCACATTCGTTTCACGTGCTTATAAAATGCCCAAATGTCCATTGGTGGAAAATATTCTGCAGAATTTATTGCATAGGATTATTCGAATGGCATGAGAGAAATTCAGAAGAATGTTTGGGATTATAATTATTCCGAAGCGAGGGCTTGTCTTCGTTCATTTCAATTTCAGTACACAGTTGATGTGGCTGTTGTTCAATCTATTTCTATCCGCTTTTTTCGAATCACAAAAGCAATATCCTTCCATTTCTGAGCATAACAATTAGATTATATGTGGAGTTGCTAAACTATCTGCAGCATTTGTCTATTTGTGTTACATATATAGCACCCTTTCAGCAAATCTTTTAGTCCGTTGTCTTGAACGTTTTCACTCCTCGTGTTCAATCGTTTACAAACTCATCAAGTTTTCGTGGTCTTGTTATCGTGCGGCTTTAAAATTTCCATATTGAAATTGGAACAAATCAACGATTACAACAGAAAATTTGCATCCGTTTTGATGATTCGTCTGAAACGCTGAATTGTTTTGAATGTTGTGAATTCCAAGATAATATAGTTCGATAGAGTAGGAGAGGACTGAGAATGGAGTAATATGAAGCAGAGTGCTTATTGCGAAAATATTTTCGTGATTTGATATTGGTTGCATTACTTCAGTGTCACGATTACCTCCAGCTCCACCAGTGCGTAATCCGAGCACGAGTCTATCGTGTGCTCAGGGAGCGATATTCTTGAATCAAGCACGAGAATACAATCGTATGAACAACCTCTATTCAAGTTGTGCAAACGGTACGCTTCATCCTAATAACTACAACGATTACGATTATGATAATTCTCCGATGTTCAATGTCCCTTCTTTCTTGTTTTTGTTCATTAGAGCTTTATGTATGTCCATGTTTGTGCGTGTCATGCTTGTATGTGATAATCTTTATCTGTGCATGTAGTATGTAACTGAAGTTGTTGTCAGAAGCCTAATAGAGACAATTGAATTTTCGATAAAAACTCCAAGAGGACATGAATTTTTTAGTCGTTTGATGGTTCCGGAGTTTCCGAAGTAAATTCGTTTGTTTGTTTGTTCTGCACTTTTTGCATGTTACATGTTTGTGATGAGTGTTTGTTGCTGTGTACCGTTTGGCTTAATGTAGTATCTGTTTGTGTCAAGAACGGGCATTTCTAACGAAAACAGTGGGAAGAATGACCGGTGAGAGAAAACTTCAAGATGATGGGTGAAAAAAATCGAATAAAATGCTTTGGAACTTAGTGGATTTAGATCGTAAGCTGAACATTTTTAGGAGTTATTTTGGTATGAAAACAGTTTCTTCGAAAGAGGACACGACATGCATAAATGAATGAATATATGTTCCTATAACATCCACAAATTATTCACAACTATCGCTATGTTAATTATGTTTGACTTTTATTTCACAGTTCTCATTGTGACAGTCAAATAGTATTAGTTGGGGAACTCTTCAGGTACGGACTACTCAGCAGAACAACGTATTTATGGTCAAACGAACGCAATTTTTGCACCACGATCGGGTAATTATTCGCACTTAATGCCAACCAAATCAGTAGAATCACTTCCTGCGGCGGTCCTGTACGCCCCATCAAGCCATATGAATCTAGCGAGTGAAGATTCTGTAAGATGCGCGTCGGTTCGGCAACGACCCTCCTCCGCATCACGGAGGATTTCTGCAGCCGAATTGGAGCATCTGATGGTGCGACAGTTTCAAGGAAGCTCTCAATTCCAACCGGTTCATCCCACATATGATCAGGTAGGAGANCTTTCTGATGCTATGAGAATGAGACATTTATTGGTTGTTGTTGATCTCTCGGAAGATAGCACTAGTAAATTCGAGTGGTTGTGTTCGTCGTAGCAAAGATATCGCACTGTATTAGCACATTTTATAGTAAAGCGTAGCTTTTTTGATCGTTGTTTGAAATATTTCGATCAGATCTCTGAGAACGTGTTCGATCTGATATCTGATCAGATGTATTGAACTTTAAAGTGATTGGATGATTTGGAGTTAGGCTAACTCTGAGATAAAGAATACATCTCGATGATGTTTGTGCCCAGTGGAATATCCATTGTGCATGTTTTATCAATGTTATTGAAAATGAGAATTTTTTAAGGATTCATTAAGCAGCGGCTCCGGGATGAAGTTCACGTCGGTGGCCGACATGAAGCGTCGAAAACAGCGACAAGCGCCGTCTCCGCAGATGGCGAACAACGGGATTGCAAGTCGCCCCAAACTCCCAGGCCTTCCGCGCACACCCCTCGCTCCGCAAGCACCCACGCAACACTATGCTCCTTCGCTGAAAAGCTTTAGCTCGTCACCTGGTGCGCATTCAGAGAATTTCATAGCCCGTTCCACACTTCTCCTTCTTGCAAATTTTAGACTTCTTGTCTAAATTTTACTGACTTTTGAAGTCCTTACAATCTGATATGTAGACATTATTCATACCTTCTCAAAATGATTAAAGTCAAGTAAAAATTTGCAATTTAGAGGTCGAATAGTTGCGGAAATTTTTTAGTTTTGTTGGATTCAACTTCCTCGAATTCGAAATCAAACTAGCATCAGAGATCTCGATTTCATACCGATGTCTGTTTTCTATTATGACCACAATTTTGCTTCTAACAAAGTCTTTGCTGAATTTCAGATCTACAAGCGCGTCCAGGTGATTCCTCAATAGAACCGTTACATCGTGACAACTACCAACATTCAAATGAAAACGAACAGCCCAACGGCATACAACGTCCCCAACAATCCATTTCAACGACTTCATTTTCGGATATGAACGCTGCCACAAACGCGAATCGTTTCAACACCTCACCTCGGTACCATCGATATTCTGTGGATTCGCCGACTTCCTACGACCCACACGGAGCATATTCACGGCCATACCGGTCCTCCACTGCCAGTGGGACTGTGGATTCTCCGAATCGCCCCAAAAGCTCTCCGCCATCGCCGCCAGTCTCCCAAAGACCGGCGGAGTCATCTTCTTGCTCTAAAATGATCTCGAATTATAGTATGAACGGTGGTGTCAATGCCGACAATAATAATAGTTATGAAGATGGGAATATGGACCATTGCGCTTACAACGCAGGCTCGAGTTACGCCAGAAGCGAACAAGGATATTACGGCAATCCAGATTTGAACACAAATTCAGCTGCTTACAATCCGATCGGAGACCAACGGTCTGCGTCCGTTGCTGGACCGTCATCATGTGAAGGTGGACCGGGCTCACCTTCAGCCTCCTCATCGGGCTATCGATATTCTGAGGTAGAAGCCTCGACGATTAAGAGCGTTTCGTCGGATCCAAGGACGGCTCGAATTCCGTCGTCGTCTACGGATTCTACGACAGCGTGTTCGTCTTCGACCTCTTCAACGACCTCAACGATCGTTTTAAGGCAAAATCCCACGTCGGCGCCGGGCAACAACCGCTGCCCGCCACCACCGCCTAAGCATTCAACGGGTGCCCCTGCGCCCCCTCCACCACCACCTCCGCCACCTCCTCCTCCAGTGGAGATGCTTCGAAGTTGTCGCCCTTCGGTTAGTTGGCTTAGATGGATTCTTTTCGCCCATCTCCTCCCACTGAAACTTTTTGCTCGCTTGAAATGATACGAAGATGAAGTATTGGAGAGTGACAAATGCAACTCATCACCCACATGCTTATTATTGATTCTTTGTGTATTATTGACTCTTTTTATTTCAGATTTCTTCCATAAACAGTATTGTTCAGCCCGGTGGTAAGAATCCTTCAGCGCAGTCGTTGACTGCTGCAAGCATTTCGAGCACTGCCTCTTCGGGCAACCGTTCGACGGCGAACTCGAACCCGTACGGAGCCCAGCAACAACCCCAACCGCAGTCTGGACTCAGTGGTATCAGTGCCGAACTTCTGTCCGGGGTGAGGCTGAAACCGACGAATACCGGCGGTGGTCTAAAACGAGACCCGGAAAGTCCAGTCGGAGCGTCAGCCTCAGATAGTGCCGTTTCAGTGCCAATGGATTTCGATGCGGACTTGCGAAATGCATTAGCGAGACGTCGTAATAAAGTGCGTTCGCCTCTAGTCGTTGTTGGTTTTTCCGCCCTATACTTATCTATCTCTTTACTTTTCATTCTTTGATCTCTTTTTTTTGTTTTTCTTTTCATTCATAACCTTTCTTTTTTACTTTATTTCACTTCGTCTTTTTTCATTCTATCGCATTTCTGTCTGGTTTCTTGGCTTTTCAGTCGGTTTTGAAGTTTGATTTTGAGTTTTTGGTTTTGATTTTTGGATCTTCTCATGATGATATTTCTGAGGATTTTCTCATTGGAACGGATTTTGCAAGGGTTGTTTGGTATCGACTCCTCATTCTTTCTGTGATATCGACTCCTAACGATATCTGATCCAATTCTTCGATAGGTTCCTCAGCTCCTCCCGAAATCCCCTAAAGGGATCTCGTGGATGGAAATAATAATGACCGTATTGCATGCGTTCTTCAACAATTATCAATTCAAGGTATCTCGAGATGAGCAGCAAGGTGGCGAACACGCCAAAAATGTTGTGTTCTCGTTGGAGAATCAGCCACCGGTAACATCAGTGAGGTTTGTTGCAAAACGAATAAACGTTCATCATTATTCTTTGTTATGTGTTTTCAAATAAACGGGTGAACGAAAAATTGATCAATGCTACTCTTTGAAGCACCTGATTTTAAAGTTCAATTATAGAACATTGTGATCCTCAACGCATTTCAGCAGCTACGGTGGTCTAAGTCTGAAGGAATCTGTACGAGAGAACGTTGGCGCGAATCCATCCGGAAAGAACAATCCAAAATCGCAACAACAACATTCTCCGCCTGGTTTTGCGACGAAAAAAGACAGCGGGTTAGTGATTGGACTTTGCGTATTTTAGATTTACTGAAAATTTCAGAATGAAAATATGTAAAACATCGTCTATTTTGATAGTGAAGCATTATTTTTTCAGGTACACATCGTCGCGTACCTCGTTAGAGCCGTCGGAATGTGGCGAAGAATCGAATTCAACAGGTGGCTCCGGTCACCGATCTACCCTAGATTCGACTTCATCATCGTCAGCGAGCAGCAACGGTTCCAACGCTGAATTTCAACGACCCGCAGCGTTGAACCTCCACTCGTCGGGCTCAAAACCTAGTAACAGCAGTACCACT